ATGATGTTTGCTATCCTATTCAGCGATCAAAGCGTTTTACCATGTACACAACGCTAGAAGAGGTTGGGAATTATAGCGCAATAGAGCGTAATAGACTTCTAAAAGCTTATCAAAGCCCCAAAAAAATGTTTAGTACATAAATATATTTATCTGAAAGGGTATCCTAAGGCCTGGTCCCACAATGCAACCATCGTTTCTTGTTTTCATTTAGTATTTGCGCATTTCCGCATTGCTGACATGTCTGACATGCCAAGCGGACTAGCACAAACAGAACTAAGGAGTGCAACTGCCACGCCCAACTGGAGCTCTGCCCTGGGGTAATTAAAAGTGCTTGCAGCAGCTCCGACTTCCCCTTTTCGCCAGCTTAACTCCTTCGGGCAGTTAAACTGTTCCACCAGAATAAGCACGCTTTTGTTTTTTGGGCTCCATGAGCTTAATATATTTCACTTTGCGCTACCCATTTTCATCTAGACCATATCAAATAATAATGCCCCTAGACTTCGGAGGCCATTACGTATACGCAGTGCTGGGGACTAAGCTAATTTTCTAGATGCTGGCATCCAGCTGAGCGTTGGCCGGTCCCCAAGTGTCTGACGGCTTGCATGCGGCACGTACTCTCTAAAAGGGGGGTATTTTTAGCGAAATTGTGGGGTAAGTCGGTGGAATGGGGGCAACTCACCTGCCAGAAGCTGCCGCCCTGGCGACGTTTTTTATAGATGGCATAGAGGGCCCAGCCGGGCAGCTGAATCAGGCCCAGAGTGGCCAAAAAACAACCAAAAACTGTGTTCGGAAAAAGAGCAAGGATATTATCCTTGTAAAATCAAATACAAGGACTAGTATCTTTGGGCTTACCGTGAGCCATGGTGGGATAGCCCACACCCTTGTACTCCAGAGCGGACATGTCGAGCAGCATGTAGATGAGCACGGCGGTCATCAGACCAGGAGTGATAAATCTCCAGCACAGACGCCAATACCAACCGGTCTCAATGCCCATCATGAACTTGATGTCCGCGCAAAAGCGATTAACTCCTAAAAGTTTATAAAGAAAATATAGGAATAACTTATCGTTTCCCACGTAAAACTTCGGAACTTAAGCTTAGATACATGTGTATCTAAAGACTAACCATAAATCCAGGCCACAGCCACCAACTCGCCGATGGCCAGGATCAAGGCGGTGAAGGACACGCCATAGAAATCCACTAGGTTCAGGATAAACTGACCACCCGGGGTCATGTAAACAATGCTCACGGAGAAGCCGAGAACGGCCAGTCCGCTGGCCAGCTTCCAAATGGGCGGTGACCGTGATCCGAATTGGTCCCGGATGACGCGCAGGATGCAGGATCCCATGCCCACGGTGCTGCCAATGCCTAGGACGAAGAGCATGAGGAAGAAGAGGACCGCGAACATCTTTAGGTAGTTGTGCTTTAGGGCGCCCAGGGCGCTGGACCTTTGCGATACCTTACCTGTGGCACATACTCGAACTTGGCAATGGCCTCCGGATACGAGATGAAGGCCAATCCGGCGCCGCCCTTCACCACGCTGCCAATATCCGAGTTTCCGGTCTCGCGGGCCAGATTCCCCAGGATCCCAAAGGTGATGCAGCCAGCAATTATGGAGGAGCAGGAATCCATGGTGGTGATTATCACAATGTCACTGGGGAGAGTTTTTTGTTGGTGTTATGAGAGGTTTATGGGTGGAGAGTACTGAGTATTTGGCCTTTGCATTAAATTAATCTGTTGAAGCTGCTTTAGATTGCTTAAAGGCCTTAAGACACGGACCTAGTGAAAAATTGGGCCTATAGCTTAATAGCATTCAGTGAATTTATCAAATCTTGTTTTGGCTGACATAACATGTTTTAAATAAATCCGGTTAGTTAGTTTAAAATCAAGCAAGTGTTAATTTACAAGTATTATGGACTGCAAGCTTTATAAAGTCTGGTTCCGAGAGATTAAGTCCAAGGTTTAACTGCCATTTGACTTACTTGTAGACATTTCGATTGAAGTTGTTGTAGCTGGCATAGGTGATTAGAGTGCCAAAACAGATGGCCAGGGAAAAGAAGACCTGTGTTACGGCGGCATACCAGACCAGTGGATTCAGCAGCTCCCGCCACTGGGGCTTGAAGAAGTATATGATGCCATCAAGGGCTCCTGGCAGGGTAACGGCTCTCAACAGCAGGATAAGGAGCACCACATAGGGGAATACCCCCAGGAAATAGGCCGCCTTGCCACTGCTCTTGATGCCGCGGATGAGAACTCCACCGATAATCAGCCAGGCCACTGCCAAGCAGACAACCAACTGCCAGTTGGGCAGACCCACTCCATTGTCTATATTGGGCACCTCGTGGAGGATCTCGCGTCTAAACGGGGAGAGGAAAAGGATTAAATAACTTAAGGAGACTTAGAAAAAATACTTATACCTATCATTATATGCACGCCATTTTATTTAATTTAAATTAACTGTGTTTAGGAGAACACTAAGTAACTATAAGACATACTATTTCTTAAGATCTGTGTATGTCACTATGTAAATCAATCTAGAACCATAATTAATGACCTGTAACATAAATACTATAAGGGAGCAATACTCTCACTCGTAATCTTCAAGTGCAGGCCGTTTTAAAATATAATCTCTGATATTTCTCAAAGGGATGGTGTGGATAACTCTTTAACTAAGGCAGGAAGATGAAGTTTCTGTGTAAAAGTTTTCATGTTGAAAAATAAATTCACTTTTAATTCGGAACTTAACTGATGATGTATAAAATTTACATATGATTTATATTATATCTTTACAAATACCTTTTACAGTATCAATTAATGTGTCATTTATGATATGGGTTGGCCTTGAAAACCCATAGTTCATGCTAATTAGTTGTTTTATTTCTGTCAGCCATCATTTTAATGAATGACCTCCGAAAAAGTTATCGCATTGAGAGATACTCACTCAAAGTACAGCTGAGCGGGTGACATTTTCCCGCTGCTATTCTGGGCACTGCCGTCATGGCAATCGCTGCCCCAGCTTTCCCAGCAGCGACTCCACGGCAACTCGGAGCCGAAGGAGGCCAGCAGGAACCTCAGAGTCAAGGCCATAATGCTGGAGTAGTACGTAATGGAGGCGGCTGTGGCCAGGACCTGGCCCACCGCCACGCCCTTGAGTAGGGGTGCCATATCGAAGGCCTTGACCACACCACGACCCGTGAACTGGCCCAGGGAAATCTCCAGATAGTAGACTGGCCGTCCAATTACCAAAAGGGCAATCAGATACGGAATCACAAAGGTACCGCCGCCGTTCTGAAAGGCAATGTACGGAAAACGCCAGATATTCCCCAGACCCACAGATAGGGAAATGCAGGAGAACAGGAACTCCAGCCCGTTGCCCCACTGCTCCGCCGGCTTTTCTGGCTTTTCCGACTTGGTGGAAATCTCTAGCTTCGCCATTCCGAGAACCGAGCACTTTGAGGTGGCACGCCTAAATAACCGCAATCGAGATACCCGGACGCCTTGAGACTTGGAAACCCAGACAGCCAGACTGCCGGACTGCCAGCTTCTCAGATTCTCGGATTCAATGTCAGGCCCACGCCGCAAGTTCTGTGCGGTTGATTATCTAGTTTGGGGCAGTCTGGGGCTGTAATCTCGTCAGAAATAGCTCGGAACGCATCGTGAAATCAGTCTTAATTGGCACTAATAAAAGGTGCTAAGTGGGATGCAGATGCCAGAGGCGGAATCCGAATCAGAAACAGAAACAGAGGCATTTTGTGTACAGATCCATTAGAGAGATCGTGTTTATCGACCGATGGATAAATTTGTAAAGGGGTAAGGCGAAGGCGATGACACCTGCCTTATGTTAGTTTGAATAAAAACAGGCTACGTAAATTGAGCCAAACTGCGAGATTGGAACAACCTGCGACAAATTGTGAAATGCGGAAACCAGTTCTGTTTATCTAAAAAGATTGCAGCTCGCTTGGATTATATTTAATTAAATAAAAGCACGGATTTATGTCCATTTCAAAGATCAAGTTTTCAATCATAAACTTTTTCGTACTTCCTCTAAAAGTTATTTCACAAGTTAAACATATTTCGGGAAGCCATCAAAAAGAATCTATGAAATTTCTTAAAAAGCACTATATTACCACTGGTATCTTTCCTGCTCTCATCTGTCTGACAGCTCTGGAAAGTTTTTAATAATTTTCAAGAGTTTTCTAATTAACATCCCTGGCAGGCTGCAACTTAAGTTGGCAAAAGGAGGAAGAGGGCCAAGAAAATAAAGGGGAATGCCTGGCCGGGGGGAAGGGGAGTGCAGCAGATAGTTGGTTAAATGCCACTGAGCCGGTTGAGTGTGCCATTACGGTGACAATTTTAAATGGGTTTTTAACAACTTTCGCAGATTTATGGCAATTAAAAGCCTTTGATAATGGTGATTGCCTCCGGCTGCTCGACTGCGTGGGCATTGCAATCCCCGGTAATTGACTCTAATGCACATGAATGCCCTTTTAACATTACTCATTCGCTTTCGATGGCTTTCAGCAAATGAAGGTATTCTTTTAATGCAGCTTATAGTATTAAAATGAGGTGTATATATAACAATTATTTAATTTTTAAATTAGGGAATGACGACAGCAGTTCGCAAAAAAAGGAGAACCCAGCTTGGAATGAAAATGGAGATCAATAGCTATTTGATACAAAAATAAACGTAAATTCTTCAGAGAAGGGTAACTTACCGTAATAATACGATTGAAACGTTTAGGGAAATGTAGCTTCGTGATTCTAAATCAGTATATTCTTTACTGCTAATATACATCACAAAATAAAAGTTAAGAACTGTTTTATGTTTTTAAGGTCAACACTTTTTTAAAGTCCTTTAGTAATAGTTCTCTTCTGACAACAAAACAAAAGTAAAAAATAACATTTTTTATAGCCTAATACTAGATAGGAATAGACAATTGTACTACTATGGATAACTACTACCTATAAATTAATCGAAGCATATATGTTAAAAGTACCTACATTTGTATAACAGAATACTGTATTGTAAACTTTATGTGACTAGTGCTTTATATTAACGTAAACCTGTTAACTTCAGCGCTAGGAAAATATTTAATAAATAGTGATATACAAAGTTCTGTACATACATAGCTGTTTTTTTAGTAACCATAAACAGTTTTATTCAGTTCCTAAACACATTAATCATAGTATTATATATACCAAAGGAACAACTTTTGCTTAAATGAGTTCAGCTATTGCTGCCTTAAATCACACTCGTTATCCTATGCGATGGTTTTTGAAATGGAGAGTTGAATTCCCTCGTTTTGGAGTGTTTCCTTATTTAGTTGATTGTTATACGACTGGTTGCACTTGCTTTTATAGTTTTCATACCGCAAATTATCGCACATAAATAGCCATTAGCTGGGCGGAAGGCGAGGGGTGTGTAATTTCTGGTCTTCTCTCCTGGTGTTGGGTTAATTAAAGTGCAGTGCATTAGCTTGTTGTGGAGAATGTTGGAAAAGCGGGCCAAGAGGGTGAGCCAACTAACTTTAATTGCAGCTGTAAAATGTTGTTACTTGCGCACGCAGATTTCGAACGAGCAGCAACAATGGCAGCGAAATGAGGCAAATAAAATTGGGAGAAAAACTTTCTCGATGGCACAACCAGAGACGCATGTGTGTGTGTGTGTGTTACGGGGATGTGAGCATGTGTGTGTGTGCAAGGATCGATAGAAGGAGGGAAACCCGCAGCTCGTTTGCAGGCCCATTAACAAGCAAAAAATGAGCGCTGCAATTAGTTTTCCCTTTCTTGTCCTGCTGCCAACTCAGACCAACTCAGCCCACTCGGTTTCCGTTGCCATTCTCTTGTTTCGGGCTTTCGCCTAACAAGTTTACTTTTAAAATTGATTTCAACAGACTTTGTAACAACTTCCGTTTCCGCTTCACCTGCCTACGTATTGGTAATTCACCCACACACATGTGTGCTGGGCCCTGTTTAAGTTTCGCCCTTTTTTTTGCCATCCAATCAACTTTTTTCCCCGCCCGTCAAATGCCACGTTTTTTGCTGCTACTCTCTCGCTTCTCTCCACTATTTTTAACTACAATTTCATTGAGTTCACATTTAATTTGAAATTAATTTTTAATCAACATCAATTGAATTAAAATGCGTTGACTGCGACAGCTCGCCAAAATGAAGCTGGTACCTAGAAATGCACCTCCTGCCCCTGCAATCCACTAAAATGGATGCCCTGCGGTGGTAGAGCTGTAAATAAATTAGCCCCATTTATTATTGAATCGAAAATGCGTTAATATTAATTATAAATTACATTTCGCCCATTCCGTTTTCGTTGCAGGTGCGTCGCCCAAGCGGAAATTAACTTTCGGTGAGTAGAGAAACTACAGAAATAAGTTCCCAGGCAATGTGTTATGCTGGCTTATGAATGGAGTACGTGTTACTGGGCAAATGGGTGGGTTTTCTCCGTCTCGTAGGCAGCCCCCTTTATTAGCTTTATTACAGAGAAAAACGATAGAGAAACCTTTAAGATTAATTAATGTTTTCAGAAATATTTAGACATACGGGTTACATGTGATTACACCTTTTTTAACGAAAGAACATAAAGTAATTCTGATTTAACAAAAACTGTTTTAAGTAGAATTCTAAGAATGAATCCTTTTTTATTTTATATACTAACACATCCCTCACCTCTAAAAATGGTACATCATTCGACATATTATTTAAGAAGGCATTTTATTATAGCTTCATAAAGATTAATTTTTAAATTTGTTATTACAAGTATTGAATTTTATAAACTTTCTTTAAAAAACTTCGAATTCGACACAAAATTTTGGTATTTTATATAGTAAGGAAAGCTCTCTTTAGGTATACTGTAACGAAATGGTATAAATTCTCTTCCTTAAATTTATTTATATGGGTTTTGATGCTGATTTACACTTTGTGGTTATTATATTTCGACATATGTCGACATATTTTTACATAAAAAAGCTACTTTTTGATATATTATTTATATTTTATATATTGTTTTTTGTATTCTTGCAATTGGGTGTAAACTTCTAAAATACATAAAGTTTTATGATAACAGTAAGTACTAAAGAATTTGTGGTTATATACCATTAAGAGATTAGATTGTAAAAATACTTTTCGAATTCAGAGAAGCGTTTATATCCAGATAAGAGACCACTAAACCCCTTTGTTGGCCCTTAAATTCCTTTTTATCAGTCCCAGCTTTTCCCCCAGTGTCTAACTAACTTGAATTTAAAGGGTTTACGGCCAGCAATCAGTTCAGCTGCTGCGCGGCTCCCCTTGTTATTTGTTTCGCTTAGCGCGTGCCTCAATTATGACCAAGGTAACATCCACTCGAATGCATCGCGAGTGCCACCGGAGGAGCAACAGTAACATCAATGGCAACTTAGTTGCCCCGGCCAAATGTCAAGGGAGGTGGAGAGGGGGGGGAGACCAGGTGGAAACTCCGGCCAAGTGTTTAACCCAGTTCGCAGTTTGGCGCACAGCTCCTGATCCAGCTTTAGTGGCCGCCTTTGTTGCCATTGTTGTCGATTGCCGCTGCTCTCGGTCTGTTTCGTTGTTTGCCGCTTGTTTGCTGCTCTTGCACTTGCGGCACGTAATTGTTGCAGTGCTTGTTGTTATTTCGCCGTGGCTGCTGCAAAAGTTATTAAAATGGAAAATGGAAAAAGGCAAAAGCGAATCGATTATGCCGGATGCAGCAGAAGCAGCAGCAGCAGCAGCAGCAGCACGGCGAGCTCTCACAATTGCTCCAACTTTGGCATACAAAACTTTTATTTCGGCACCAAAAGAAAGTCGGGGAAAAATAAAAGGGAAGTAGAGGAGAAACTTTAAATTGACATCGAATGGCAAAACCGAAAGCTGCTGTGGCAATACCTAACAAAAGTGAAAAGTTGTCGAAAGTTTCCTTGCCGAAAAATGATAAGCCAGCCCGTTTTGATACCCCGAATCCCCCCAATTCCCCTCCAGAAGTCACGCACGCTTTTCGATTAAGCGCAGGGAGCAAAAGACAAAAGTCCGAGGAAAACGGACTACGGGGCGTATGAGTAACAAGTATTTTTTTTATACCCGGTGCTCTTAGAGTAAATGGGTATATAAGATTCCCCGGAAAGCATGTATCATGTAGAAGGAAGGAAGTATTCTTGATCGGGATCACTAGGCAAGTCGATCTAGCCATGTCCGTCCGTCTGCCTGTCCGTCCGTATGATTGTAGAGGTTAGGCTTGCAGATTCTTGAGATTCTTGCGCCCATAATAGCCCATAAAGCAAATCCCTGTCCAGCGCACATATCTCTTAATATTTTGTAAAAGTATAAATGGAACTATGTTTTGATTACTGAAATCGGTCTACTCATTAAAAAGTTATAAGAAAATAGAGAAATCTACGCTAGGCGGCGCTGTGGCCTGGTGTGCGATCTTGGTAAGAGAGGCTTTGCTGCGTGCATATCTCCATCTTCCTTGCACTCCTCTAAACTGATTAATGGGTATCTGATAGTCGAGGCCATCTAGGCTTTAGCGTTCTCTCTTGTTTTTTTGTATGCTTGGCCAGCAATGTCTATGGCTTTGCGGGTAATGCGAGTTTAACAACTGAATTGTTGACTGACATTTAAATTTGCCAACACAATTTGCATTTCTTGCGTTCAACTCGCCGCCTCTCTTTGGCCTGTCACTCGTCTTTGGGCTTTGTGTATGTGGAATTTATGCAAATAATAAGCATTTCCTTTCTGGTGTCTCCATTACTTGCTTGCCACGTCTAATTTCGACTAACTTTTCGGGGGTACCACCCCATGTTCGTGTTTGAGTTGGCAAACAAATTTCAATTGCAAGTTGGGGGAATTTCTTTTGCTTTCTTTGACTTTGATGTAATTTAATGTGGCATTTGGCTTGCACTTTGGCTCTGGTATTTGGCCACATGTTCCCGTATCCTGCAGTCGGTGCAATTAAATATGAAAAGTAATTTTCATTGTTGGCCAAGTGGAGAGTGGCACAGCTCAGGACTGGAAATCCATTCGTTTTGGACTTATCTGCAGCTCGCTGTTGACAGCCAAGGAAAATGCCATGGCAAAAGCACGAGAAAAAGCCATTTGCATGCCAAGAAATAATTTTATAGCTCTCTCTTTGCTAGAAATTGGTGCATTCAGGGAAAATGTCTTTGGCAGCTGCTGGAACGTACTTAAATTCAACTTGACATCCACCGGATTTGGCGTATTCCGCCCTCAACAAGTGTCGCTTTAGTGAATCTGGCCCGGCTTTTTGGCATTTCTGCAACGTAATTGGGAGTGAAAATCTCTTGGCTTGCCCACCCGGCGTATGCGCAATCTCATTGTCAATCGGCTGGGACGTGGCACACTGACAAAAATGGTGGCTCATCCTGCCCTAATAATAATTATTTGCCAGCCTGGCATTTTGCCAACTGTATTGTGAGCCAAGGGGGGCTAATGCCTCTTGTGGCTCCGACAGCCGACAACTGACACTTGAGGCGCCCCGTTAACGTCGCTTACCATATTTGCGCTTTAAACGCTTTATTTATTTGCCAAAAGGCGGAAATTCGCCTCGGCTGTCAGCTGCGCCACTCAACTTTGATGTTGTCAACTGTAAGTAGCACGCCCAAAGTGTTAGCCAGCTGGTAAGGACCCCGAGACAATCTCCTTGTCATAAGCCAAATGGGTTATGGATGTGTGGAGTGTGGAGAGTTGTTCCGGCAGATTCCGCCGGCCTCACTAAGTGGCTTTTTATCAAATGTCCTTAGTGTCCTTGCACGTACATTTGTTTGGCCTTTGAGCCATCGGAAGCGCCGGGGGCGTGGTCAGTGGTGGTGGCACTTAGGCATTGGAGGGCCTAAAATAACAATGATTAAATGTAATTTTAGGAAGTCCAACGCCCCCATTTTGGCCCCCATCCCTCGGGTGTCCAGCGCTCAAGTTTAATTACAATTGGGTTTGTTTTTCCCCGAGTTTTGGGGTGTGGGGCAGGGAAGCATTGGAGGTGGCGGATGCGTAGGAGTTGGCCAATTTCTGGGCCCCTGTGTGCCATCCTGAAGCGTGAAAAGTGCCGCTAGAACTTCACCAACATGTTCGGCAACAGCACCGAAAATGAAGTTGTTCTGGGAGTTTGTCCGCTCGGCGCGTCGCTCTCCATGTTTGCCCTCTGTCTCAACTTGTCACGAACAAAAGCGCGGCGAGGACCTTTTCCTGAAAAAGTGCGCACTGAGAGAAAAATGTATGGAAGGGGCTGCTTTAAATAACTCAGTTTATATGGTATCGAGACACGTCCCTTTTATTCCACTTAACAAACTAAAAATGCTTAACATACAGATTTTATGGAATCATGTTTTTATGTAAGATGGAACTAAGTTATCGAGATCTTATCGGAAGTAAGGTGCCCATCTACTGAGCTACAACAAATTGAACTCCAAATGTGGTTCCTTGTAGTATAGTATTGCAAATAAGAAAAATGTAGAAGATTAACTAAATGTATTATTTCAACAACACTTACATATTTATCTACTGCAAACAATATCACTGATCATGAACTGGTTTTCTTCATGTCTTAGGGTTTTTCAATAATTGTCTGATTTGGAACAAGTATTTGATTGTTATTTAATCTAAACAATTTAAAGGCCACTTCATTTTGGTTTTTATAGGCGTGGTCTGTTTTTGCTTAATCTCAACACTATAGATCTTAGTTACTGAAATCGCAGCAGACAGACGGAAGTGGATTGGCTCAACAAGTGATCCAGGTCCGACCTAATTAGTCTTGGTTAGGTATAAACAGTGGCCGATCCATAGCTGGGTTTTGGGGGGTATATACAAATTATTTAGTATATATCAAATACTTAGAATTAAATACCCGACTGTGGGGATATATCCCCATATCCCCCCCCTCCTCCCTGGAAACAGCGCATGGATGTATACTTGATCTTAAAATATATTCATACATTTATTACCAGAAATAAGTACCGAAAACGCACCGGTATAAACGAATCGGTTTAAGGGTCCAGAACAAGTTTTAACTTTAATTCTGATACCGGTTCCGGTTCCCGACATTAAATCGGCTTATATCTGTTAACGGTTCCGGTTACCGTTCTGTTTATATTCCCTGGACCTGTTAAATACTTTTCAATGAATACAATACAGTTTTCAACTTTACAAGGAACGGGTGTAATTATGAAACCTCATATGATTAAATCGTGATTAAATTTTTTATCCCTGTGCAGATGTGAGTTGGTTTGTGAGTGTTGTTCGGCTGGCCTCTGATGTTGCTGCCGTGCATTGTCAACAGCAGCAGCAACACCACTTGATTCAATGCACAAACAGGGGTCGTCCTTCCCAGGATCCTTCCCCTCCCCTCTCCGCCCGAACCCCAGCCCCCTCGCCTGTCTCTTTCCATCAGGCGTAATTACACGCCATGTCTGTTCCATTCAGACCCACCAAACAACTCACCCACCTACCCACCTCCCATTCGAGCCACCCACTCCTGTTTGATGTGCGTGTTTTATTTCGAGTGCCATTTGTTTTAATTAAAATTATTTAAAGCGTTTTCAGCTTGAAGAGCTTCGACATGGCGACAAGCCCCGGAATTTAAGTTTTGCACTCTCCACATTTTTGGTTTAAGCGTGGTGTATCGTATGGCAAGCCACAAGTTACAGCATCGGGTTTTGAGAAATGGTTGCTTTGAGTGTAATACGAGATAGGGTTATACAATTTATCCAATTAGTTCGTGACCCAAGGGAACAAGCTTTAATTGCCTTGCCACAGTTTGAATGTCAGTGGCTGAACAGTGTTGTTATAGAAATGAATTTGAGTTTTTTTCAGAATTCCATAAGCTGGGGAAATTAAAAAGCTCTGGATTGCAGGGGAATTCCAGCAACTTTTGGGTAAAAAAGGTAGATTTGAAACGATATTGCATTTTGGGAATATAATCCGATTTTAATGCGCACAAAAGCTTAAAAGGAATATTTTCAACAGGCTGTAAAACTGTATTGTGTCAAAGAAAAAATGTAGAAAATCAAATAAAATGAAATTAATTACTGCTAATTGTTGATCTTTTAAATATATTTCTTTAAAATTAGGTTCTTTAAAATCTTGCTCATGGCAAGCAAACTGGAAAATTCTATAACTGTAGGACTGTGAATCTAGAATGAAATCAATTACAGCCAACTATTGCCCTTTTAAATATATTTCTTAATAATAAAGCTCTTAATTATCTAGCTCATGACAAAGTGAAGAGTGTTTGATACATTGCTTTTTTATATTAGTAAGAAAACATGTATCTAAAATATTCTTAACCATGTTAGCTTAAATAATCATTTGAAATATTTTTAAAAAATCATGAAAAGTGCTCGTTTTTGGGTTAAAAACCCTATTAGCCTCTATGTAAACATAACGCTAGTAACTAGAGCTTGTATCATTTTAACCAGGTACTATATGGTCCTATATTTTCGTATGCAAAGCATACTGTGTGCTCTTTATCCGATTTCATGCGCAAATAGAAGACAACATAATATTTATGGCCATTGTTTGTTTGCGACTCTTTTTGCAAGCTGCCCTGCAGCTGAACTTTATTGTCCACCTAAATTTCGTTTTGCTGATTTGTTTGCCAACGAATCGCTTTTTGTTTGTGTTTTTTTTGTATTTTGTGAGGTAAACACATGCACACCTACACACCCACACACCCGCACACCCACAATCTATGCCCCACCAACACTGGGGCAATATCAAACGCAGCTATAAGAGACACTTAACGACGGTTCCTCGGCCATTTTGTTTGTGTTACTGCCATTTTTGTTGTGTTTGTGCGTTTGTTTGTGTGCATAAATGAGAAAAACCAACGTGGCAACCATAAAACACAAACACAAACACATACACCGCAAGAAAAAATAGTCATAGAAGGGCAACTATTGTTACATCAATACATACATTAATACAATAACTTCAAGATATTCGATTGAAACTGATTGGCTTAAAAATACTGCCACATATCGAAATTCTTGTCTCTTTAATGTAGAAATAAAACTGAAAAGTATGGACTTTATATTACACTGGTTTACAGCCAAACAAATTCAGCTTAAGAACTATTTTTCTAGACTTATACACAGAGATAAGTATCCAAGAACATTGTTCTTGAATTGAGAACATTGTTCTTGAATTGGGAATATTCGTTCTTAAAAACCGTGTAAGTACATTTCGGTATCAATATTAGAACGAAATGGTGAGAAGAGAAAAGTTAAATTGAGTTTATTTAACAATTTTTTGATAAGTATACACTAAGGAATGAACTAATAGTTTATTTGTACATACAATGTACTTAAATACCGCTAATTCAACTTGATTCGAGCAAAATAAAATCATTTTCAACTTAAAAATATCGTTCCATTTTTAAGAACATTTTCAACTCAGTTGAGAACGTCAGAGTTTTCTCTATGCTCTTCCTGTCTCGTTGGTATCACTTAAAAAATGTTTTAAAGAATCGTTCTTCATATATTCGCAAAAAACATGTTTTTTACGTTGCTTTATTAAAGAGCTTATACCATTTAACCAAATTATATAATCGTTTGGCAGTTCTTACAATCTGAAAGAAGATAGATGTACCTCTCCGAGGACATATCACTTGTTGGAATCGGATTCCAATTAACGTTATTAACCAAAGAAGTTACCGAAGTTTAAAATTTCTATCCGATTTTCAAACATATTAGTCTACAAAAACTGGTTTAAAAGCTGAACTCGAAAACATATTTTCTTTCTAAACTAGTGGTATTTATTCTTAAATCTTTACTTTAATGTCAGTACTACCTCTGGTATACTTTCAATATAACCTGTACTAAATTTGTTAATTCTGATTTTTTTCCTTGAGTGTAGAGACATTCTCATGTTTGCACAATAAAATTTCAACAATATACGCGACAGGGTCTTTGTACTTGAGTAAATTGGATCTGTGCAGCGGGCCGTGCGGGGGGGATGTTAAAATTAAATAAATATTTGCCTTTAAGCCCGGCGCAGCGGCTTACGAACCGAAACAAGACACCCACACAGCGATATTTAAAGCAGCCAACCACAACAACAGAAACACAAAACGAAAACCGGGCCGAAACAAAAGTCTCGAGTCTCAGAAATCTTTGCGAAAGTATTTCCACTTGGTAAAATAAGAGGCGGCGGAAGGGGGGTCTTTTACCAACCAGCACCAAAGGGTTCATTCAAGAGCTATAGAAGTCTGAATCTGGTGTTTTAACGACGACAGCTGTCCATTTACAATGGGTGTATAAAATCCCACCAGAACTTTAGCCATTATTAAATTGCCAAGTTTATTTTATACCAATAAAAATATTTTTGTGGTCATTATTAAGCCAGATATCGGGAGCGTGCAGGAAAGCCTTCTAAATTAATGACCAGGATTATATGGCTTTTGCCAGTGGAATGAATATTTAATGGCTGCAATATTGCCACTCCCTAGAACAATTAATAATTTAATTATGATGACTTTTATTAAGCCTCTAAGCATATGAACTTTATTTCTATTAATACTTATTCGACTTTAAATATTAAATAATTCCAGAACATGAATAAAATACTGAACTATTTATTTCGCACAAAAAAATTTGTGTTTAATTTGTACCAATTTTAATTTATTCCCGTTGTTTTCTGTTGTTTGAAATTGCTTGTTTGCTTTTTTTGTGGCTGTGAATATTGCAATTCGTTTTAGAAACACATTTTTTTCACCACTTTAATTGCATAATTTATCAACGAAATGTGGAAAATTGCGGAAGACAAGAGTTTTGCATTTAATGAGTAATGTTTATTGTTTATTAACAATTGAATAGGTCGATAACAACATATGTGTGGAAAGAATAAAGCCATTTTTAGGGCACACAGTCCACCTATAAAAGCGTGGAACAAAGCAAATATTGCCTTATTTTCAAAAATGAGAATTTACGTAATACTGCTGTCCGTAATATCGCTGTACGCCCTTTCCGAGGCCGCTGGGCGTGGCCCCAGTCACAGTGTTACTTGGGGAGTGAGGAGCTACAGGGACTCTCACTTGAGAAGGGAGATCATCACGGAAAAGTCCAGGTTTCTGCGCGTAGTGACAAAGGATTATGTTTTCGATCAGAAGGTTGGTTATCCCATTGAATAGATAGAACCATCTATAGATAGAACTTTTTCTTTAGAAGAAACTCAAACGCACCATCACTCAAATCGTGATTACGGATCAAGTTAGGGATGGAAATGGAGGCTATGCATATTTAACCGCCGGTGGACCGCAGAGCACTTATGCCAAAATCCATCTGAAGAGTCAACGCAACCAGGGCTTCAGCTTCATCATCGACATTTACGGCATTTAACCCGGAACTGCCTGCCTTTAATTATATTCCACTTCGTATTTCACTCCCTACAGATAGTTTGTTTATTTAATGGCCAGCACATATTTACATGCTGAATATATATCCGCAAGCATGCTCATATTTGCGTATTTATATGGGCATACAATTGACACGGGCCAAATGAACTGCAGCTAATTTGCAGTTGGCGGGCGATAAATATAGTGTTGCTGATTGATCTGCGGTCGGAACAATTTTATTTTGATTACTGGAGAGAGCGGGGTTGTGAACTCAATGCGGGTAATCAATACACAAAGGGTTAAACCTGCACATGTTTAATAGATGAGAATAAACCAATGCGGAAGATTTAATCAATTTATAAACGTCATCATGGAAATCCATTGTTTAACAATGGGAGATTACGGGTTAAAATGGGAGATTTATCACTTCAAAAAAATCCAGGAATTAACCGTGCAGTTTAATGACTCGATAACTCTTGTAAAGAAACACCTATAGTCATCAACAGTTTTTCGCTGTTAACCAAAATGGCCAAGTCGCAACTTCGAAGGTTATACGGCAAGTAAGCGATGAGTTTTCGGGGGGCAATTCCCACCACTCGTAATTACCCAGCCATTTCGACTAACGAGGCAAGTGCAATTTTCGGTCGGGCAAATGGGGAAAATATAACCCGCAAAAGCCTGTGAAACCCTTGGTAGGCATTCGGGCAGGCCCTTTGCCATTTAGCAAATGTCAGGCACTTAGCCTCGCAACACCCCCTGAAAACCACCAGAAGGCCCTAAAAACCACCGCCCAACCACCCATCTTCGATGCGATGCCATCAGCCAGTGTGAAAGTCAAACAAATCCAATCAATGTTACGCAGACACATATACTTGAACTCGTGTATCTATGGACGGATGTACGTATGCCTGCATATATGCAAATTAGCCGGGGTTATAAAATGTAATGTATTGGCTGTATCTGTATCCCTCGGCTACGGGAAATCAACCATCGATGCGTGTATATTAGAGGTTTGAGGGATACGGTCGTGTGTGCGGGGATACCATCAATCGCAACGAATTAAAATTTTATTATGCCATATTCCCCAAACGAGCAGAGAAGGTCGACGCCGGTATCTTTTATGGTTTTCGAATGTAAATGCTTTTTGTCTCCCAAGTCGCCCGTTGGCAAATGTGGGCTAACAGGTCCCCTGCACTTGGCCCGAAGGTGCAACGAGTTGCAGTTGTGGCATTTCTGATTGACGGGCATTTTGCATACAGGAATCCCCGTTTAGACGGGGGGATCTCACGCAGCACAGCACCCTTCGGTGACCTCAAACGCCAGTCAATGCCAGAAGAACGCCCGTCCCGTCCAAGAACCACCCACAGGTGAGCCAGGTGGGCCAGGCGAGCTGCCAGGCCAGACCAAACCAAACCGAGAGCCATACATTATGCAGGTTGTTTGTTATCGTTCGATAAAGTGTAAATTATGGGAAAGTTGCCAGGCAGCCGGGTCAGGTCCCTTCGGAGCACCACTATATGTAGCATACATATATATACCCATGCTAGTGCCCACCTGCCTTTTGCCATATAATTTGCGATATCTTTAATGGGTGTCTTTTGTGCGTAGTGTGCTCAGTGGTCTTGAAGTTTGCATTGTTAATCGAACAACTGGCATTTGCATACTCGCATTTGAGTAATTTATGCTGAGTTCCGGAATGCTTTTTAATTGCCCGCCCAGATGTGCCATGTTCGATATTCGATATTCGGGGGCTGTCACAGGCCAAAGCCATGGGAAATTGGGTGGAAACATCTCAAGGACTGTCAATCGCAACTAGAGGGTCTTATGCAGATTTCCGTTTGACTTTGCCCTGCCTTTGCACACAAAGCAAAGTGTTGACCTCAGTTTCGCTGCTGTCATAGCCATTTCCCTTACTTTCCCGTACTTTCCCCCCACCTTGCCTTTCTTTTCCTGCTGGCAGGCAACAAAAGACGCTTCGTCGCCTCGTCTCGTTCATTTCACAGCCAATTTTGTGCATTTTTTTCGACTCCTTCCCAGCTGCATCCTTGGCTTTTTTCAACACTCATGTCCCTGCTGCCGCCTTGGCCTTTTGTCCTGCGTGGAGCGAAAGTGTGAAAGCAGCAGGCGAACGGATTTCTGGTCTCGTTTCACCAGGGACTTTTGTTTTTCAATTGCCATTTGCCATATTTGCGGCAATTGTTTTCGTTTTCTCCAGCAGTAAATACAATTGCAGCGAGTGAATGTTGTATGGTGCTGTGCACTGTGCATGTGCACTGAGGAAAAAGACTCACCAACTCGATAAATAAGTAATAAAATTTAAAACATTGGTGGCTGGTATATTGCTTCCATGTATCTTATAGGTTACAAAAAGATTTATTTTTCGAGATAAGCAGTTTAGAAAGATCGGATATTTTAAAATGAAATAGGAATATGTATTTTAAAAAACACTTTTATAAATTTGATATTGTTTTTTAGGGGCAGGACAAAGGATATTTACCTTCCATTAAAATTAGTTTAGTGATTTCCAAAGTTAAGATTTCACTATTTTTAAGGGGTAGGTAGAATTTCACCACACATGAAAGTTTTTTATCGCGTCTGAGTAGTTGTTATCTGATTATTTCGGATCACGTTGCCTTATGATTTCAAGAATGTATTTTTTCCCCAGCACTACGTACTGCTCCCTGTACTTACAGTGAATTTCCGGCTTAAGTTTGACTGGAGCAACAGACTTCAGCTACGGCTGTGGCGCCTCCGGTTTGTCCTATCAGCTGCAAGGAGCAGCATAAATGGGATAGGATAGAAGCTTGTTATGTGCAGTCGCTCGATGGGAAACACACACGCACCTGTTAGTTTCCTTTTCCTTTGGCTGCCCTCGCCTCCATTTCTTATGCTTATCAAGCGAAGCTTTTCCAGCGTGCTAACAAACGAGCAAAAACAGCAGGAAAAGCAGGAAAAGCAAAGTGCAGAGGGCGATGGGGGCGGGGCATCAGTTGATTGCCGGAGTTGTTTTTCCGGCATGCAGTTTTCACTCTGACGATGCTTGAATGGCACGGCTTTGCTATCCCCTTCTCATCTTTGTCTCCGCATAATTTGATCACTTGAACCATCATGCATTGGTGAAACTTTAAGGAAAAACATCTTCCTTCAATCATTTAAGAGTTGGTTGCCAATTTTAGATTAATCCGAATACTTCTAGGCTTATACACTGTAATACTGTAATCGCCACAGATTTATTGTGTTTCTTCGCCAGCTGCTTTCCACACAATGCTATATCATACGTAACTTGCTGTAAACTTACAAAACTTACAAAACTTACCGATTCGAAGCATTTTCGATCCATACGGACAAAGCTTAAAGCTACCACTCGGGGTTCTCGTAATCGGTCGTAATGTCCATGTCTCAGAATTTCTCTTCAGAAACCATTATTCTCTCTTTGGCTTTATTTCGATTTACTTTCGTTTCTAATAGATAACAGAAAGCTTTTGAAAATGTTCCATTAGCTGTTAGACAAATAAAAAAACCTTGAAAAATAAATCGAGTATATGTTAACAGCAGAATATCTAATGTGCCGTTTCTTATTTTGTTTGTGCAATAGTCTCCTCCATTGTAGAATATTATGACACTTCAGAGCAGTTTTTTGTACACACCCCGTACACAGTTCAGTAATTTTCCTTTTACTTAAGTACCATGCGTAATGTTTGACGTCGGTTTTTTGTAAACTAATTTCGATAACATCCGTTTTTTCACGATCCTTGACATCTAAAACTTTTTTCCAAAACCTTAAGGGGGATAAGGTTATAGTTATAAATTGTTTTCCGCAAAGAATTTCTAAAAATTACCTTTAATCCGACGTCTAAAACTATGTTTTTTGAATTTACAGGAAGTCTTACATTTATTATAATGAACCCGATAAAAAATTCCATTGACTTGCCGCGGAATTATTTGAATCAAGGAAATTAGAATGTTTTGATTGATTTTGTAAAACAGCAATGATAAAAATCCAAAGATTTTTAGTTTTTCTCCAATTGATGTTAAGTTTCGACACATAATGTTTTTCATATGTGGAATCTTAAAATGAAATGTCTTAAGCAACCTTGAACTGATTAATTTTGTAAAAATAAAACCGTCTCGTTTTATTTAGAGCACCAAGTATATATTATTCCGTTTGGACTCAATTGATAGTACTACTGACAAACTTGTAGGATAATCGGTCTAATTACCCCCATAATAAAAAGTGTAAATTTAGGTCAATACCGTTTTATTAGGAATTTGATAGAGAGGCGAGTGCTAAGTTATATACATCGACTAATTGAATGCGCATATACATATATTCAGGGTACAAGGGACAGGTTAAATTCTAGATTAGGCCTACGATTGCTTTGCCCTGGGTGGTCGCAGATAGGCCTGGATATAGAACTTTCCAAACAGATAAATGAAGACTACGCCTTGCAGCATGTTCAGATAGAGCAGTCCGTGGGGAACCCCACAGTTGGGTGAGAAAAATCGCACGTAGACGGCGTAGCTGAGGAGCATGAAGAACTGGCAGATCTGTGTCAGTGTTATGTACTTCTTCCACCAAACATTGGACCTCAATGCGGGATACTGTGAGGTCAAGAAGTAATAGAAATACATGACCGTGTGCACCAGGGAGTTAAGTAGTCCCACGATGTTTAAATGTCCCCCGGTTCCATAATATCTGGTCAGAGCGTAACTTCCGAAGGACATGAACACGTGGTGATATATATGCAGGAAGGTGACCTGCTTAAAGCTCTTTCGAAGTATAAAAAACACGGTATCCATGAGATCGAGAACCTTGTTCAGGAGGTAAGCGGCATGCAACACCCGTTCTATCTGTTTTCTTTCATGTCCCTGGGGAAAGCTCTCAATGCAGCGTAGGTTGCAAATGCCCACGATGAACAAGTAGTAGAATACCTTGAGGGGAGAAAGACGTCTATATCAACTCACGAACCAATCTCGTCAATCTCAAGACTCACCATTCCAAAGTAGATGCCATTGTAGAGCACCTGAAATATGTTGTAGACCTTCAAGACTGTTTTCAGATCATAGGGCTTCCGGTTTTTCATGAAGATCTTGCCCAATTTCAGGACAAACAGCAGATAAGCCACCAAAATCACAATAATAGGCCATGGTGAGCCAGCCAGCAGAATGGGATTTGGGTCTGGAAAGGTTTCGGTTGATAATGTTTATATCTTGTATCAGTAATTCGCCGAACCCACCTGCCTGGGGAATGTACAAAAGTCGGAGCATTCTTGATCGGTGATTGTTGTTTGGGGGACCACTAGTGACTGTTTCAGTTGGCTTAAGGCATTCCAGGTTGTTTTATCGGAATTAACCAAATCAAATCAAATAATGCATTATTCAAATACTTGAACTGCGATGTCTGTCCCACATTTCGAAGTGAGAGACCCAGAATAAAACGCTCGATTAAATTTCACTCTTCTGAGAAAGACTCAATTTCGAAAAGAGAACTTTAATTCATTCGAAACTCATTGTTTTTTGCTCTTGGCTTTGAGATATGTTTGATAGTAAAAGTTTCCGAACATGACCATCATGGAGGTCGAAATTGCAATCTGTACGAATTGAAGGGTCTTGGGAAAGGTGCAAGCAGGATTCAACCACATTGTCAGGACAGCTTGGGCGAAGAGGACCACGAATTGAAGGATCTGCAACTTGGTGATGTATTGCTTCCACCACAATTTGTTTTTCACTTGTGGATACCAGGCAGCCACAAAGTAGTAGGCATACATGACCACGTGCACGAAGGAGTTCAGATAACCCATCGTGTTATACTGTCCTCCGGGTCCATAGAAATAGTATGTCATGGGCACCCCGAAAGCCATAAATGCATGATGATAAACGTGCAGTACAGTGATCTGCTTGAAGCTCTTCCTCAGCACGAAGAATACGGTGTCCATCAGGTCAGCCACCTTGTTGAGAAAGTAGAAATAGGTAAACAGCCGATCGGCATTTTTATCCGGATGGTCCGACGGAAGAATATCCATGCAGCGAAAGTTATACGGTTTTCTCACGAAAAGATATTCGGTGCCCTGTAAGCATCTGGAGTTTTAAACATGACAAAACTGTCCATGGAAAAAGCTTACCATAATAAAAATGCCAGAGTTCATTAAGACTTGAAAGAGATTATAGATCAGCATGGCAGTTCGCACATTATAAGGTTTTCGGGACTTCATAAAGTCAGGACCCACTTTGAAAATTAGCAAGAAGTAGATAAAAATAATCCCAATCGCTGGAAGAGGTGATCCAAGCAAAGGCAGATGCACGGGATCTGTAGATAAGTCGTACAGTTCAGTGAAATTAGTGGGAGTTCCAGTTGCAACGATAGAGCTCACCCGCCGGCAATCCCCGGAACATATCCAATAGTGTTGAGTTCATGGTTACTCCGAGCCTGCCTCCGTGGATTCAAACTGAGGCACTCGCTTGCCATCCGCCTCCTTATATACGTAGTCCAAATGGAACCACTGGCTGCCCCGAAGCAAGGGTCTCCACTTGCCGAGTGGTCACACGCCGATGACACCTGATTAGGTATGCTCTTGCATACACTATGCTACTTCTGCAACCCAACTCCCTGGCCAAGAGGCCCGCAGATTTGACTTTCTAATTCTGGAATTGTAATTCTCCCGCTTGCAATGCATGGATCCAGTCGGGGTAAGAAAGGTATTCGCACATAAAAACTACTTTAAGTGAGGTAAAAATATATTTATAAGAGCAAGTTACAAGTGTCTGCGAAAAAAAATAAATATGAAAAGGCCTCAAGAGGCAGCTTGATTTCTGGTTCGTATGAGCTGTCATTTTATTTTTTGGGCTTTTGATTGAAGTCTGATTTCTCAATGTCAGGTTATCTTTTGTCGTTAAAGTGAGATGCTGATTTGAAAAACTATAGTTTCTCAACATCGAGTTAGGCTTAATCTAACGGAAAACTCTTAGATTGCGGGTGTGTTCTAGTTAAATCTGTCCGTCAACAAAATGGAAGCTGACATAAAAAGTTCGGCTACTCTTTTTTTAGGTTTCACATCCAATTTTCGTATGATAACAGACTCTGTAAAGATTTTTGGTTCGTACAATTAACAAACCATTGAGTAAACGAATTTATCTTTTCGAATAATTAAACTTTATGTTGACTTTAACCGTCAGATAGCAAACAATAGCTTTAACATGACATTGAGAAATCAGCCCTTAGTGATTTACATACTGGAAAAAGTGCATCATATGTATGTAAATATTTTTTATAGCAACCTTTGTGGTATTAGATACTCACTAGAGTATGCAATTATTTAAACAGGCCTTAGGATAATAAAGGTATTTTTTTTTATGTATGAGGGTTTGAACCCAGAAAACGTGTCGGAACTCTAAGGCTAAAATCTACTTTACATTTTAAAAATCAGTTAGTTTCTAGAGCATACTTCCCATCGTTTCAAATGAATATCACTTCTTATATGAAGTGTGTACAAGATATAGATGTATGTATTTTTATCATTCCGGACTAAATATGTATGTAAATATATTCCATTTACCTTATATCCTGAAAGTATCGATAATTTTCCCCCAGCCCACTTTGTCCTTGACTTCCCTGACCGATTTCTTTGTTCTGTTTATCTTTGCAGGGGCTTAAAGCGTTTCCGGCCAACAATAGACAATGGCGCTGGGCACCATCAGCAGCAGCAGCAGCCAAATCGGGCGAGGCCCATACGGCTTTAATCCCAGAGTGGGAGCAGCAACAACAAAGGTGGCAACAAATCTAATTACAGAACAACAATAAGGTCAGGCCCTGGTGCCGCTGATGATGATGATGTTGGGAAACTTCCGCTTTGTTTGCCCGGGCGGAAATGAGGCGCAATATGTCGTCCAGTCACTGGTTACCTTTCCAACTCTGTGAATAGTGACCTCGAGCGAATCGAGCTGAAGGAATCCGGGCACCGCGATTGCCTGGAATTTAATTAAAGTGCAAAAAACACGAACCGGAGTCCGCGAAAAGGTTCGAAACAAAAGAGCAGTTGCCCGGGCGTGGAGGGGGCGTAAAGGGAGGGCTGTGGAGGGGTGGCCCATAAATCTAACCACCCAACCAACCCACCCGACCAGCCCATGCTGCACGTTGTTGCAATCGAGCTGGCCCACGTCCACTGGCCAATTAGCTGCTGCAACAGCCGAGAGCGGCAATCGTTTGGGCCCCATTGAACGCGTACTCCGGCCGAGCCCAGCTGCCTCTCTGATGACTGCCGCCAAAAGACGTGCGGGCAGCAGCAACAGCAGCGGCAGCAGCAGCAGCAGCAGCAGCAATGGCAACGAGCAGCAGTCCCTGCAGCAACATCTGCAGCTGCAGCAGCAGCAACACCAGCAGGCCCAGCCCAATGAGTACCAACAGTTGCTGCAACACCCGCACCATCACCACCAGCAACACTACGGCAACAGCAACGGCAGCAACAGCAACAGCGGCAACATCAGCAACCCACAGCAATACCACCAGAGACAGCAGCAACATCAGGCGACATTGCGCGATTGCTCCGTCAAATTGCCGCTGGATATCCTGTGAGTACGGCCAACAAATCATTTGGGCCTCGAGTTTCGCTTTTGCACGTAGCCGATAAGAAGGCCATCCGGGGGGTTCACCGAAAAAGGTCAAGCCACTCCCCAGCTCCCCGGGGAATCTAGAAACAGAGATAGCCGCACGTCTGGCTGGTTTAATAAAATTTACATTTTAACAACGCGAATGAAAATTGCATTAACTTTAACGGCACAACATTTGCTCGATTCGATTTTCCCCGCTGCTGCACAGCACAGAAAAGCAGTCCAAAATGAATCAGAGAATTATAAATATTTACCCCGGCGACGATTCGAGGGGAGGGGGATGGGAGAATCGTGCCCAGAGACAGGGACAAATGAAGCGTTTCAAATGCTTAGCGCCGCGCAAAAGAAACTTATTCCAGTTTTGTCGGGATTGGGGCGCCTAAGCCTGCTTTAAGGCGGGGATTTTGGCTTAAAGGCTGCCAGCCAACCCAGAAAGTGTGTGACAAGAGAGGGGTAAGGGGGAGGAGGTCTTCGAGGGGTGGTGCTGCGTTTATGCAGATCGCAGTCAAGTGGCGGCCCGCCTTGTGGGGCTCGAAACGAGGCCAGTCGCAGCCGGGCTGCTACACTTGGAGAAATAGAGGAGAAGATTAAAGAAACATTTCCATAAACTTAGTTCGAGAAATGCAAAAAGTTTGTTAGAAACTATTCTCTAAGAACCATAAATTAATGTGGGATTTAGGCCTCAAGACTGAATACGTTAAGGCTAGTTTAAAATCTATTTTAGCTTAATAGATAGGCGGTTTCTCGAGTCTCAGCCGAAGTTCCTGATAACTATCTGTCTGAAAATGTTAACGACAGGATAAACTTGTAATAAAAAAGTCTCAGCCAAAGTTCCTAATAACTATCTGTCTGAAAAGTTTAACGACAGGATAAACTTGTAATAACAAATCGACTTTCTTTACACATTTAACAAATTAGAACGAGAAACTATAAAAGAGTGGTGTTAGTCACAGGGTTACGATGTCCAGATGTCATTTTAGATTTTATCTATAATCTATAATCTCGAATTACAAAAATTTAATCTAAGAAGGCTTTATGCAATCAGCCGTCACTTTATCGAGAAATGAGAGAGGAACAACTTCTCTTAAAAGGGACTTTGCCTGTCCGAGAAATGTTAGCCGGCAACTTAGAAACTGGCCCTAAGACTATTAGAAAGTTAGAAATGTTGGGTAGAATGCTTCCAAAATTAAATTTTGTGTCATTAAAGTTGAAATTTGCACAATTTCATATTACTTTTAATTAAAGAACAAAATTATAAAGCAATATACATAAATATGTTGATCATAATGTATTATTCTGTTTTGGTAAAACAAATTGTTCACCTAACGACATTTTTTTTATTAAGACAAGCACTGTAAACGGACACATTTCTCGAAAAAATGGTATGTTTGTTTACCTGTACCTCTTAAAACGAAATTGCATATATTTTATTTCAGTGCACTTACTGCAGCTGCTGGCTTAAAACGGGCTAAGAAAAAAAAACGGCAGTTGTGAATATAAAAAGAACTTAAAGCGTGTCGACAACTGGCAGGAAAAAGGGTGGGGTTGGGTGAAGAGGGATGGGTTCTAGGGGTTGATGATGGGATGGGGATGGGGATGGGGAGTGGCAGGAAGTCGGTCGGTCTTGCTCTGAGGTTGCACCCTGTGCCACAAACGGCGCCGTCGAGTGAAGTGCCTCGACTCCTTGCGGGCCTGCAGCCAGTGTGTCGTTACTTTTAACGAGGTGTCGCATGCGAAGTGGATGAGAGGCACCAATGGAGCGGGGAAAACTTCGGGGGGGAAGCCACCAGTTGCCACACATTTCCAGCCATGTCCTGTCCTACTACCAGTACTCCTATCCCTTCCCCCTGTGTATGAAAATGCACTTAGCCGCAGACTGGCAGCAGCTCCTTCTGTCACCTGCTAATGCCCCCTCCCCCACCTGCCTCCCCAACCCATCACACGCCCCCATTTTAGCCGCCCAGCCGTGTGGCATGCTGCAAATGAAGTCATCCATTAGGCCACGTTACGTATACGCCTAGCGTACTGCAATGTGGTGCTCATAATAATGCTGGCAGTGTTTGTTGCGGTCTAAGCGGAAACGTTTATAATGGAATTCGCTTAAGCGCCGCCGGACGCGGACTGAAAATGGAGGACGGTGTCCAGAGTGTCGTCTTGCTAATTTAGCTAAAGGCAGCCGGAAAAGGAGGTGAAGTTGGGACTAGAAAGTGCAGGGAAACCGCCATCGTTAATTACTCGCCGCAGACGGATAGGGCAATCTAATTAGCTGGAGCGGAAGTTGGGAAGAATCGAAACCATGGCCAAAACCAGAAACTAATCGATGCCTTTCTGTTCTTGTCTATCTTTTCCTGCAGATGGCTACCGAAATCGGCGATGCGGCCGGCGGGTCCTGATGCCTCGCCCACCGACTGCATCCTGGTGGTGGGCGTGTCCCGTCCAAAATTGGCCGTCGTCTTCCTTACGGTCATGTTGATCTCGCTGTTCCTCACCTTCCACGTCCTGTACGATAGTGCCGTGTACAATATCCAGGCGGCCCAGGCGGTCCACGAAAGGCATCGACTCTCCCTGGCCGCCTCCGCCTCCGCTTCTGCCCTGGCCTCCTCCTCGTCGTCCAGTTCCGGCTCCCGCCCCTCCTCCTCCTCCTCCTCGTCATCCGGTGCCGCCTCCAATCATCTGCCGGTGTTCGTAAAGCCTGTGCCCAGCTCCAATCAGCTAAGCCATCCCATGGTCTTTCCCTCCAGCCGAGTGCACTTCCCCAAAACCAGTCGACGGCTGCCACAGGTAAGTCCTTGGGTTCGGGGAATCTGCCAGGGCATTCGATAAATTATAAAATAGTTTGCAGAGAAGCGGTAATTACTAAGATCCCAATTTGCAATGTAGAGACTAAGCCACATAACATGTTTTGAGAACTAGCTTAAAATGGTTTGATTCAGTAACATTGAATATATCAAACATTAACTATTTCTTCTTAAAAGTTTATACATTTTCTTATGAACTAAAAGTATAGGGCATAACATTTAAAGAACCCAGAGCTTTAAAACAGTAAACTTCTCTTGAACTTATGTGGAAAAGAAGTAATCTAAGCTTACATTTCCTAAATTTTAAAGTCGGTTCTAAACTCAACGTTTTCTGATTTTAACCCTTCCTTTAACTTAACATTCGGAAGAGAAATCGATCCTTAAGTTAA